ACGGCAGCGGCCACAATCATAATCCTAATCATCAATTCCATTTCGGCCTAAGCTCCCCTCAGCACTCGGATCGTCCGGACGGAAGTGTCAATAGCCTAAGTGGTTACGGACGCAAAGTCACGCATCGTTCGGCGCCAAGTTCGCCAGTGTGCAGCAAACGCCTGGAGCGTGAGATAAATTTGAATGGCAGCGCAGCACGCGAGCATCAGCAGCAGCCAATGCTGCAGTTACCACAGCAGCAGCGACGCGCTCCTGTGCCGCTGGCTATGTCCAGTTCGAGCAGCCATATTCCTGCGAATGGTCATGCGCTGGGTGCGCCGAATAATGCTCATTTTGATCATCTTATTGGTGCGTCTCCTGCTGTTAGCTCGGCAAGCTCGATCTGCTCATCAGAGATGAATCTGTCGCAGGAGCTGCAGAATCATCCGCTGTTCAAAACGCCCGCCGTTGACCGAAGCGTAAGTAGTCTAGTGCGTGAATACGAGAGACGGCTGCAGCTGCTATAGCGTCGATGTGCCGCTTAACGCTTTATTGTTCTATCTCTCATTATTCTCGTTGAAGTTGCTGTTATGTCACCAATAAGTTATTTATGTTCATTCTTTTCATTGCCTTTTTCATGTGTTTGTTGTGTTGTGATGTGTTGTCTTGTGTTGTCTCGTCTCGTCTGTCTGTCTGTTTATTATCGCCTGTCTGCCTCATCTTGAAACTTGCACCAAACACCAATACTTCACAAACTTGCAATGTCATCGCAAAATGCCAAACGCCAACTTTGACACGCAGCTAAAGCCCAACGCTGAGCAACAACACAGCACGCGTCCACGTAATGGTGCGCCGCCGGCACGCCCACCGCCACCAACGCTGCCAGCATCACAGCCCGCCTCCTACTACAATCATCCATATGCGGCGAATTCGAGCATCAGCAATGGAAGCAACAGCAAGAGCAGCATCAGCAACTCATATCCAATCAGCAACTTGAAGCCACCTAGGCACACTTCAACGCCCACTAAGGCACGTGCGCTGGCCAGCACAGACTCGAGCTTCGATAATCCACCAGATGTGCAATCGCCGCCTATACCACCGCGACGTCAATGCAGTGCCCATGCTGTGGTGGCAGCCACAGCGGCTGCTGTTAGCGCTGGCATCAATCGTCTGGAGCGCAATTGCTGGCAGGATGAGCAAAATAATTCGGTGCGCAACTCGAACACCTCGTCAGCTTCGGCATCGTCTAGTTCTTCATGCGCCTCCTTTGTGACGGCTGCTTCACGATTTTCGCAGCTAAATGTATCATCGCCCCAGAGTTCTGATTCAGCGCCCATACCAACACCGCGTTCCAAGAGAGAGGTACAACACACAGCTGCGCGTATACTTAAAGCTAAGAAACGTCCTGGTTGTGGTATTACACCCCCCTCACATCTCATACTAACACATCCAGCTGACCCGAAACTATCTTAACCAAGTCCAAGACTAATGGACAGGCCCTTCCGTAGCTTTGCGACTAATCCGCTTGCATTGTAGTAGACTAACCCACGTAGCTTGCCCCGCTTTTAGAAGTTTATCCTGACTGATCTATATCCATAAACATTGTGTTCCTCGCCCTCACAGTCACCCCGCAGCAGTAACAGCAGCAACAACGCTCAACCACACCCCCAGGATAGCATGAATGATCTGATATCGCTGGACGATAGCAACAACACCAGCTTCGATCTGGAGGATTTCGATCCACTGAATCAGAATGCGCGCCCATTGCCGCCGTTGGGCAAGACTTTTGGCAACAACCACAAGTCCAAGTCCAGCACCTTGCCCGCTGGTGTCAATAGCAGCGTACTCAACAATGTCGTGGGCAGCAATAGCGTTAATAATCCATTATATCCCTATTTTGCGCCCAAACACATGGCCACAGTTGCGGCTGTTACGAACCGAGTGGTGAACCCACTTCCACCACAGATTCAACGCAGTGGCAACAATACTGCCAAGCCGCCGGATGATGATTTCGAGCTGTTGCGCAAATACGGATTGGATCAGTTTTCTCTAAATACAACTGAAACAACAACTGCTGCAGGTGCCAATACCAAATCAGCTTTAACAGCAGGTGTAGGCGCTGGCGCTGGCAAGGGCATGAACAACTGGACGACCTTTGATTAGAGTGAAGGCGACGTTAACTGGAAAAGATACCAAAATAAGTGTGATTAGGTTAATGATTCGTATTGTATTATATATATATACATATACATAGCTAGGCCTAGGCGATATATGATATACCAGACAAAAGAAACCTTAAATAATATTATGCTAGACACGTAGAATGAGAACAACAAAATATTTGTTACCTATTAGCGGCTTATTAGAAAACCAAAACAAATTTATGAGCAACTGTTTCAAAAAGAGATAAAAACAAATTACAAATATATTTGACTTCCAAATCAAAAAGACACATAAAGCATTAGCATAGTGAGAATTTAATCCAATTAGCTTTAAAAATCGATTAAAAATTCTATTTAAAATATACATGTATATACATATTTAAACAAAATTTAATCATCGACTGTATTGTCAATTGTATTGAATTTAAGACTTGGATTTGTGCTCGGCCATGCAGCCTTCTATGCGTTGCTGCAGCGCTTTGGCTCCCTTCAAATTCACTTCCTCGTAGTCGGGCAGCAGCTGTTGCATGCGCTGAAGCCAGTCACCAATTTTAGGGTAACGCTGACGATCCACAGGCAGCAGCAGATCCAGCGTAATCAACGTGGTGTGTATTGATATATCTGCCACGCTTAATTCGTTGCCCACCACGAAGCTGCCCTGCTTCAGGAAGTGCTCCAATGTGTCATACGCATTTTGGCAAAGCTCCAGACTGCGCTTATTGTACTCCGCCTCACCGCCATAAATGTTGCGCGCCACAATATCCTTGATCACATGGAAGAGTACGCCGTTTTCGTAGTGCAGACGATGATCAATGTGCGCGCGACGCTTAAGATCCTTGGCATAGAGCTGATCGGTCTTGCCATATTTGGAAACCATAAAGCAGATGATCGCATGGCTACAAATAATACATAAATATACATATTTGAGTTTTGAAATACGCATATATGTATACATACCTGTCCACATACACTTCGCCATCTGTGTCCACGAAAACAGGTATCTGATGTTGTGGATTGAGCTGTAATAAATGTATTATAGTTATATGCAAAGCAAATACAGAAATCAAATTAAAATATTACTGTTGCATTACAAAACCGTTTTTTTGGCCAAAACAAAACCTGAACTGAGCGGAATGGAAAAAAGACAAATCATATTTTATTACTCTTATTTTATTATAATTTTTTCGCTGACAACTTCGGTAAATTAAATAAAAATGCCCTTAGGTATGCTTCAAACTTTTAAATTTCGGTTGTAACAATGGGTAATTAGTATACAAATTATCTGAGTTCCAAATTTCGAATATATAAAAAGTAGTACGGTTTTTCTAATTCATGATTATATGGTAATTAGAAAGGTGTATAAAAAGTAGCCTACGACATTTTAAGCTTGCGGAAACAATATCATTTAATAAAATACCACGTATGTGCTGAAGCCTTTTGAATTTAATAAACATTTCGGCTAGTAATTTTTAAGCGGAATTCAATGCAAGGTTGGCTACGAGAGGAAAACAAAGTCCATTTTGCGAGAGCTCATATACTAGCATATACAACATATTGAATACGTACTTTTAAAAACTCATCGCTTAAATGTTCCTTTTTTGAAAAATCAACGGCTCTGTGGACAATAGAGATGTGAAGTGGAAGGTAAAGGACATATGGCTTATATCGCACTTACTTAAGTTCAACATCTAAACCAATTAGTTTAGCGGTCAGAATGCAGGCCCTAGCTGGAGGACTGAAGAGTGCGTAATATAGAACAGGCTTTGTGGACATATTTAAATGAAAACACACAAATTAGTTGAATAATGCGAGCAAATGATGCACCAGGTAAACAGATACACAAAATAACATATGCTTTAAGCAGTGCTGCAAAGGACAAGATTACGCTGCCGCGCTGCCAACTGGTTGCACATTGAAATTCCAATGAGTGGCAGCGCTTGCAGATCAGCTGTTAGCCGACTCTTCTTTTAACGGAAAAACGGTTGGTTCATTTGAACTTCAGAATTGCAATACATGCGAATATGTATCTAACTTTATTGGTTTTATTTTTCAAATACTAAATTACTTAGCGAAAGTCAAGTTTTCGGGACCAAAAATATTTATGAATGTGTCTGTGGGTGTATCATTGAAGTTGATTGATTGTGTAAAATTCTTTGGAGCTTTATCGCCTCTATTCTTTTTTTCTAATACGATCTCAGGGCGAGTCTAAAAGTTCAATAACCGAAGTTTCTTTCTTTTCCAGATTGGTTTCATCCTCATCTGCAAAATAGAAAACAGTTTTCGTATATAAAGCAATTAAAACGGTGTAAAACAAGAAAACACTCAAATTGTGAAAGTTGGAACTAATATTTAAAGGATAATCAAACGTGATAACATTAAATAATTAAAATTATCAGGACTAGAAGTAAATAAAACACATTGATTGTTTGAAAATATTATTTTGCTTTAATTTGCGGATTATATTGGCTTATACATTATGTACTTATATTCCCCCACATGCAATTCGAAGATGTTTTTCATTGTTTTAAACAAATATCTTTAGTATGTCTTTCTTTTTATTTAATTTAATTGGTTTGTTTTGGTTATAAAAATGTTTGAAATTTCGATCAACTTTAATTTGGTCATTCACTGAGATATATGTATATGTATATATCAATTTTTACATGTGTGTGTGTGTGTGTGTGGGTCTGTGCAGTTCGGAATGGATATATATATATATATTTATATGTATATATACATATATCCTATATATATATATAACATATATATTTAGGTATCTATGGTCCTATTTATCACCTTTTAATGGGCTTGAAATAGTAATCCAGTGGGCCTAGATAAATAATTACAAAGATGAAGCGATTTAATTCTTCGATAGATTTAGCTTTATTTATTATTGAGTGGAATTAATATTCTTCTTTTGCCAGTTGTTGCTTGAATTACTTCTTTTTCTTGAATCATTTGCAAAAATAAAAAAGAGATGACATAAATACATACAAATACGTAATTTTAAAGATAAACGAATGTGAATTTAAAAAAAAAAACAAACTCAAAATAAACATAACTTACTTAGTTTCAAAGATGAACGAAATATAACTTAAAATCGATGCGATTCTCTTGCCAATTTATTTTGCATTATATATCTATATATGAATTAGGAATTATTGTGTAAAAAGACTTAAATATTAACATTTGATTTATGTTTAGTATTACGCTATTGTTTAATGCATAGGTCTATTTGTTTCGATCTTTTGTTTATAAGTTTCATGTGTGTGTGTGTTTAACTAATATATATATTACGAACAACCCAATAAATTATATAATTAATCATTTGTTGTATGTGTGTGTATGTTTGGGCGTGTGTAATAATCGAGGCAAGCACAACACAGATAAATTAAATGATAAATAAAAATAAACTAAAAGAATTAACTAAATTTATATTAAGTGTAGAGGCCTGATTCAAATTGAATACGAAGGAGCGTAGTTCAATATTTAAATAACAGAATTACAGATAGAATAAAATGAAGTATAAGAATGGAGTAGGAACGAAGAGCAACAACTGTGTAGCATCAGCAGCATGTGTGAAAATGGGTAAGGTGTTGGGGAGGGAGGGTGTGGCAAACAACAGACCAACTGCAACAGCAATAGCTACGTCTAACTGCGCCCTGCAACACACAAAAAGTTTTTGGTTGCAATTATTTATTTGAATCAGCCTATAAGATTATGATAAAACAAACGCTAAAGAACAAACAGGGAAACATTCTGAGCCTGTTTACATTAAAAGATAGATACAATTAGAATAATTTGATTGTAAATTTCTCAACAATTTGGCGTCTAATTAAATTTCGAATTTCGTCGAGCTAGGAAATTCATTAAATAGAATATTACTTGGTTTTGAATTGATGTCATGAAAATGTACATGAAGAGCCATGAAAAATTTTAGTAAATAGCCTCTGAATAGTGAGATATGTATATATGTATATATTTATATATATAACTGATTATGTGTGTCTCGTTATGATTAAATGCGAGCAAATTAAGAGAAAGAGGGAAACAAACTAAAAGCAAACCCAACGAAAACAAAACAAAAGCAAAACCATAAAATTTGTGTTGGCGTGTGTGTGTGTGAAATTGTTTACAATTCTTGTGAGTGTGTGTGTCTGTGTGCCTGTCTATGTATTATTGTGGGTGTCTATGGAGCTCCGTTTGGATTCTGCGCTGAGGCAGACGCTGTGGCAGCAGCAGCGGCTGCTACTGCAGCCAGATCCAAGAGTTGAAAATGCTTTTGATCCGCAACTGCTGCGGCGAGAGACTCCAATAGACTCGCATGCATTGCAGCTGCCGGTTGGTCCCCAACTAGCAGTTGCTGTTGTTGTTGTTGCTGTAGCGTTTCAGGCGATGGCATTGCTTGCTGCTCGGGGGAATCTTTCGTGGAGTCGATGGTCGAATTATAATGCAGAGAATAGAAAGAAGAAAGAGAGAATAGAACATACATATATATAAGCATATATATATAAAGAAGGTAAGTGTGTAAGAGAAAAGAGGAGCGGAGACAGAGATAGTGAGAGAATTGCACTATAAAAACTATATATGTATGTAAATATATGTACGTATATATATATATATTTATGGATTTGGGGCGGAAACTAAAACACATTTCATTCAAAGCGATCGAGAATTAGCTAAAACAAAACTCATTTAATTATATTTTCAAAAGGGAGTACATTGTGTATTGCTGACAATAAATAAATAAATACAACTTCAAAATAAATTGAAACAATTTTGAAAATAACAAAATAACACGAAGAAAATTCTTGTACAGTTTACAATAGAAAACTTTTTAAATAAATAAATTTAAAATATTGCATTTTTTGAGTAAATAGAGTGCGAACTCTAGACTTTATGTAGTGTAGCTGTTGTGCATCCTTGAAAGGACCGCACGGCCTTCATTTGTTAACACCTTTGCTGCAAGTAATATATATGCACATAGATCAATTGAAATTCTATGTTGGGCTAACAGAACATACCGCATTTTACGACCTAAGAGTAGATTAACACGCACATAAATTGGCGCACGATTTGCCTTTCTATAAATATCTATAAGAAAATCATATATATATTTATAAAAACGCCGTAAATAAAATTATTGAAATCCTATTACACAAAAGTTCAATGGGAATAGAGGTGCTGAAGCCTATGAGAGGAGATGCCCCTGATAGATTCTGAACCCAACAGAAACAAGATCAATAGCTTTCATACTCAACACAATAAACTATTCATCTCTTGATTGAACCCAACTGTAATTCGAGCTAACAGCCACATAAAATGTCAAGTTATTATAATTCTTTTTCTTTTTTTAACGGAATGTGCGTTAACGTAACTCGAAAGCAGGTGAAAAAGCAATGAGGGAGAATTTGAGTTAAAAAGCCGGGGCTGGTAAGGAGTGAGTGTGTGTGCGTGTCTGTGTTTTTGTATGTAAATGAATATTGCCTTATGTATAGATACAATATTACCCTAGCCTTTTATAAATAATGATATTTAACTAAATCTGTTAATTTTTTTTTTAGCTACACATATAGTTGGTCAGTAAATGGATAGCTGCCTGTTGCTTTGCTTCTTATTACAAAAATGGATCCAACGTACCAGTTTTTTGTGGCTGCTGCGACGAGGCGTAGGCACGTTGAACTGCGCCCGTTCCGTTCGATGTGGACGTGGCAATCGCTTGTTTAGCTGGGGGTCGCCGCTTGGCCAGCGGCATATCATCATCCGAATCACTTAAGGTTAGATCCACCTGCAGAATACGACATTAGTGCTAAGCACTAGGTTGTTGGTTAAACAAACTTACGGTTTCACTATTTGACGTGGACGTGGGCTGCTCCTCGGGCATTGGAGACAAATCAGACTTCATCGGCTTGGTGTCGTCAATCAGTTCTATGCAAAAAACAATGTTAAACAACATTAAATTTAATTTTATCTACATCTAAATATTTAATTATTTAGATTTTTAACTAAAGAGATATCTAATAGCTAAGAATGCATGTAGTCTACTAACCAACATCATCCGATATGACCTCCACTTTAGAAACTGGCTTTGATGGCGTATCTAGTATTTGAGTCTCGCTACGTAAGCCTGGTGTACTCCACGAGCCATCCTGATGCAACTGAATCTCGGTATCATCGCTCTTTAGCAACGAGGATCCTAATACCTCTTGGAAATAGCTATTTGAATAGAAAATTGATAAAGTATTAGTATTACCAGTATTTTTGGGGAATGATATGATCGTACCCATCAATTACTAAATTATCATAGATGGCTGGTCTATCGCACACAGGACAATTCCAGGTGGGCTTTCTTTCGTTCATTTGCAGGTAGAGGCTGGCGTCAAAGCACTGCAAGTGCGAACAGGTTGATGCGCGACACGGCAGCGACATTTTCATTTTACCCAGCGGGCAGTTAAGCGATACCTTCAGCATGGTTGTGGCTATCTCGCAGTCCGCATCCTCTGTAAGCTTCTCCTTAACTGTACAAAATCATAATTAATAAATGTATTGGCAAAGTCAATATATTTGTAGCTTACTCAGAGCACGCGTGTAATCGGCAGGCTTCACGCCCTTTGTCTTCATACGATGTAAGAGCTGTGCAGATGTCAGCTTCTTTACCAAATAGACAGCCAAACAGTAGCTACGCGTGTAGTCTGGGCACCACTGTACCATTATTGTATTTGTTACTGTCGGCGACAATTTCACATTTGAGGTCACATTCACTGGCCGTGGTGGACGTTTTGGTTCCACGTTTGGGCGATTTGTAGGAATGACATTCTATAGTTATAAGAAGCATTGAAGCAATTAATACTTAAGAAGCAAATCAATTGTGTGAAAGTGAAAGTTTTTCGATTCCAACTAACGCCAAGGTTCTGAAAGCTCATTGGATAAGTGAAAAACTATTTGTCATTTATACAAGTGTAGTATGTCATCTTATTTGATAAGTCAGTCTGGCTATGTCTATGAAATACATAAAATAATAAACACATGAGAACTTACAGGCAGCTGACATAATTTGTTGTTCACTTTGACATTGACGTTTGGTGGAAAACAATCCTCCTGGTCGCAAGAGGTCTCCACGAGACAGAAGCGCAGCTGCACCTGTATGGCGTGCTCCACTTTTGAACTATTGCGGACATCTCGATTTGTGGCTATCTCTGTGGCCTGCTGGGGCGTCAGTGTGAAATAGAAAGGCACCTCTTGCACACGCTGTGTATTGCGCGGCACCAGGGTTGAGGGCTTGATTAGTGTGCCGAGGACATCATAGAATGCCAGCTTTTTCAGACGCACATCTGGGTGTATGGGCATCTGGCTGTTCATACCGTGCGTGTGAAGGAAGGGTAGCATGTTGGCGGGTGCACCGCCAGCGCCGACTGGCATCTGGGCTGGATTACCGGTGCCCACCTGCGGCACCTGTGTCGGTGCACCACCAACGAGACTCGCATTATTTGGCTGCACAGCCGGCAGCTGCATGTGCGAGTACATTCTGGTTGGATCTATGTACTGCAGCGTGGGTGTTTGTTCTTGCACGGATTGAGCGTAGACTTCTTGTACCTTGGGTGCGAGCAGCTCCAAGTTAGTGCGCAGGAACGATAGGATACGACCTTGCAGATCGGTTTTTCGTCCAGCGAAGGAAATGTTTAGAAACGATAAAATCTTTTGCAGCTCTACAACGCGTAGCATCTGCACCATTTGCTCACATTCCTAAAAAAAAAAAAAAAGCAGAGTAGAAAAACGCTGATTAAAATAACAGTAACAGGCGAAAAAGCACGACGACGCCGAATACAGCGCCGCAGACACAAATACACACAGCCAGCCATGCAGCTAATGGCAAAAGTGTATGTGTTATCCGTGTGTATGTGCCTTTACTAAAATGTACATAAAACACATATCCCATGCGGATCTTTTTATAGCCGTTAAAAATATATGCTTTTGTCAATCACAAACAATGTTTCAATCACAACTAAACACCGGTAGATTAATGCTTAAGCGTTTGCAAAAAAGGAGATACATCAACCGCACAGTGGACACAAAAAAATCGCATGTCACAAATTGTACATTACCTTGAACGACACGGGCAAATATAACGTTCGTGGGCTTAGCCATCCTTCAGTCAATCACAATTACCGATTTTATATTACTAGTTTATTGCTTAGTAACTAATGTAAACATATACTGATATTCAACACATTTGTTATTTTTAATTCCCCCGCATTTATCTTTTTAATCGCACAAATTTGTTTTGTCGGAGGAAATATGGCGGATGACAGTGTTGTAAAGCAATCGTGTTTTGTCTAGCAGCAAGCGTTTGCGTATGTTGCACTAGGGGGCGCTGAAAATGAGGCTTGCCCTGCGGTCACATTGTTTTTACTTATCAATTGTTTTTTTTTTTCTTACGAAAATGCATTGTTTTTATTTATTATTAGGTTCACTAAATGAAACACGTAATGACAAAATTACCTTGAATTTAGCCGCATCAAATGTGTTTACTGCAGTTGGCGTTGATTGCTGCGATGTGGTAGAAGCGGCATTTTCCGCCTGAGTTTGCGAGCGGGTCTTTCGCATCACAATTGTTTGCTAACGTTTATTGTATATTCAGCACAAAATATGTGATTTTACTGGCGTTCGACTGAAGTTCGCAATACACTTGAATATAAACACTTTCTCAACATGTTAAAATAAAACAAATGACAAAAAGTTTCCGTAGCGTTAGCGTCTGACTTTTATTAAAGATCAGTGTGACCGTTTGATACTAACGCAAAAATAACAAAACAAATATTAGAGAAGTTGACGTTAAACAGGGGAGGCAATGACGCTTACGTTTTTGCTCGATAGTAAGGAGTTAAGGAATCGAAGCAAATCAGGAACTAATTCAAATTTGGAGCAGACGGTACTATATTTGACTGATCTATTTTACTGATACATCTGGCAGCCTTATATTTATTGGGCGAGATGCCAGATCGCTTATTAGCATACCGCCTTCGAAACTTCAGTTCAAGCAGATTTTTACCATGAATTTTGGATAAAAAAATTATCATGTCCGATAAGTCTAAGGTCTTATTGAATGTCATTTTGTCATTTTGACGCCACTGAAAATCCTCCCGAAATTAAAGAGGTACCTCATTCGCGCAAGTTTGATCTTTCGTTTTTAAATTATTTAGTTATTGAAGTTATTCTTTGGTTTTCTCTCATTTATTTTCTCATGCATTTCAAATTGTATTTGAACTATTTAAATATACGTTATTGTGTTTTTAATTTATAAATATTTTTGTGTGTTTCAACGTTTTATATAAATATTTTTCTTAAATTGTGCTTAAATTTGACTTAAGTGTACGATTCAAGAAATACTCTGCTTGTTGTTTGGTGACCTCAAATTTGAGAACAATAATTGGTAAAATTTTATAGCACTACGCTCTGTAAAATTTGAATATATCATTCGAGTTTAAGCTATTTTCACTGATTGTTATTAAGTTACATTTATTTTTATTTTTTTGCTGTATTATCATATATAAAAAATTGTTTTAAAAATGTTTCTTCTAACTGTATGTGCGTGAGAAAACTTCGGTGAGCCTTATAATTTATAATAAGAATTTCTTTTAGTTGTGCAACAAGTAAAATACTTAATACAAATTGCATGGAAAATTGTGCTTGAATATATTTTGTTTTCGGGTTTCTTTCATATTTTGTTTTTGGTGTGTGCCAACAATTTTATATTTTCACTTTTTTTGTTATTTTGCAAAAGGTTCAATTATAAATTATAAGTACAATACGTAAAATACATTTATTTAATATATTTAGCGATATCACCACGATTTGTTGTTATTGTGCTCTTAAAAATCATGTAACAGAAAATTTTTATATTCTTAAATTAATCATACCTATACATATATATATGTATGCATGTGTGTATATATAGTATATATATTTAATTACTTTATGCTTAATATGGTAAATGCAGTAAAAATACGCTTGCGTCTAAAAAATACACTTCCCGTTTAACCTTCTATTCGGTTCATTATTTTCTGTTCTGTTTTTGTTTTATGTTTTAGGTCTATGTGAAACTAATTATATATTCAAGTCTAAGATCTGTATCGTTGCTCTAAGGTGGAATCTACAAATCAATTGGCTGTAATTCAATATTCTTTTTTTTTTTTTTTTTTTTTTTTTGCTGTAATAGGCAACTGGCGGTGCTTGGACAGCGAGGGTTAATTACTCGTATAAATGCAAAAGTGTGCCTGCTCCTAAATCCTTACAAGGTGCAGTATTCCGTTAGGATGGGTATGGATTTGAGTAACTCGTTAATGTTGTGCTGCTCAAGATGTGCGACCAGTTTCTCTGATGTCTTTAGCAGATTAATACAGTTCTCAAGGTTCTCAACAATCTCCTTAGTCATGCTATCCGACGACTTAGCTATCAGCTCGGCTAGCTTGGCGCCCACATTACATTTGATCAGCTCATCTTGCAAACGCTGAGCCTGCTCCGCTTCTCTGCCCGACTGCGACAAGTATACCACCGAGAGTATACAGAGTGCAATCAATGCTTCGTTCTGCATGACTAGATGCTGTGCTGTTAACATGTTGACCATGGCTTCCACGGTGCCCTCATTGCTGAGAAATTCGTTCAGACTGCTACGGTCATAGTCCTGCGCCAAGGGTATCTTATCGGCAATCTGTTCGGCTGGCGCGTCACCTTTGCGAGGCAGCGCATAGGCAATTTTGTTGAGATACGCATGCTTAATCAGCCAGGCCATCAGACGCAACGATTCACCAGTAACGCCCGCATAATCGGACGATTTGCTCCAATGCACGAGCTGCTCAATCAGCGTCTTGTTTTTCAGCAGCTCTAATGCCAGTTTCTCTGCAAAATAATAAAATATGAGAGCTGTTGTGGCTTATTCAGCATGTTATGTTTAGACTTACCCTGACCATCTACGGTCATGCGCAACGTGCCGAGCAGCTTGAATACCACCGGTGGCTGATGGATTTCCAGCATGGGCAATATGGTCTGCACCAGACCCGCCTGAATGACAGCATTCTTATTTGGCTTCGGTATGACCAGATTGCGTAGAGCACTTAGCAACGCATGCTGCAGGCGCACATCGTCCTTGACGCCATTATTCTTGGCCAGCACCTGGAGCAGTTTATTCATCGTTTGCTGTTCTACAAAGTAAATACAATGGCTATCAGTGCGTGCAAAGTTGCCCAGAGCCAGTACACCGGTGGTTAGCAAATCAATGTCCGTGGAGTCCAGCCAATCGACCATGTTCTTAAGCAGCGACGTCGTATACAAGTAATGCATTGATTCATCTGAAAAGATTCAGGATTTTCAATTAGTATAAATATCAGCAATTAAACAAAAGGCACTTACCGCCCGTTAGAATGAGCACAATCAGTTCGCATGCCAGCTTCATGAGCGCGCGCGCCTCGCTGGTGCTGGCCAGCGTTTTATACTTCTCCAGCAAATTGTAGATTGTCTCGCAAAGGCCATCCTTGGCCAGCAGCAGCTTGACCTCATCGCTTTCCGCTTGGTAGTGCAACAGCTCCAGGCACATCTCGGCCAGATCGGGATTGGTGGAAGCAGCTAAGATGCGTGACAATTTTATGTTCAAGTGTGAATCAAAGTTGAGATCGGCCACATTTTCGGTAAGTATGCTCAGCAGGGGCAGCGTATTGAGCAGCAAGTCCTCGTGCTGTTCCACATTACTGGCGCCTGTGTCGACAATGCGTTGCAGCTGCTGCATAATGCCCAGTTCCATGGCCCGCTTGGCCAAACCCTCGCCACCCAGCAGATAATTGGAGAGCAGGCCGCCCCTAACTTTGATGAACTGCGGCGCATTCACCGTATCCTCAATTTCCGCGATGTCCAATAGCCGCAACAACACCGCATCGCCCTCCAGCTCCAATATAAGATCCCGTGCTTCATCATTCAAGTAGCAAATGTTGCCCAGTGCTCGGCATATTTGTATAGGCAGCTCCATGCTCCCGTCGGCTGCTGGGACATGACGCAGGCATTCGAGGAAGGCGGCGATGATATCGCGTTTGGTAAACTTTTTGCGTTGCACCTCCGATTTAGTTATCTCGGCAATGCATTTCGCCGCCTCCTTACGCACATTCGTGTCCTCGCATTGTGTCAGACGAAGAAAACACTCGGCCAGCTCATGCTTGTCAAACAATTTGGGATCCTTTGTGGAAGAGATTTCGCTGAGAAGTGTCGTCGTTGTGTTGTCCAGGCTAACGCTTGTCGTTTTCAGCTGCTCAATGAGCTCGTCCATTTCGGCTAAAAGTAGGAGAAGAGGAAATCGTTTCATTAAATCTAACTAAACATGCAGTAAATATTAAGAGGTTTATTTTATCTATCTTCCTTTATGTGTGTGATTATGTGGGGAGTAGGGTGTGTGCGTGGGCGACACAATTAAGGCAAATTGCGGCATATCCTTTCCATCGTTTAGCGTATCAAATTTATTGTTAACAATTTCAGTTATTGGCCAAAGAACCCACTGAGCCCGCAGAAAAGAAAAGTAACTAATGCAATACCATTTGTTTGCGAATTGTCAGTCCGCCGGAAATGCTTTAAGCGTGTTTCCCATTAAATGCTCATTTTCTTTCCAGATAGAGAGAGCGAGAGAGAGGGATACAGATTGAGAACTTGAAAATTGCTTTAGGCAACAGACAAACAGTCAATTTGCATAAATGCCAAAAAAAAGGGAGAAACTGAAGTAATAAATAGTATAACGAATATAAAATGCTCTGCAAATAATCGCAGAGGAGGGTAACAGTCAGACATACAATAATTTTATACATTTACATTTATTCAGGATAATTTCAGAGGACTATAATAATATACAATAATTTTAGGTATACAGTCACAGAGGTGCAAGAGATGCAAATATAAAACGAATGCTAATTTATTATTATTATTAATTTATAAGAATCTCAGCAGCAGAATCAGAGGAAACACCTCTCAATTAATTTCATTTCGACTAAAATACCGTAATTTATGCGTAATTTAACACATTTTTCGACTTCAATTATACAATTCTTATCTTTAAATATTAATTATTTTATTTCAAGTAAATGTGATGTTGAAATGTAGTCGGAAAATTAAGCTCTTATGCTTCGGTTGACTTGAAGTGCTTTTGGTACACATTTCTAATGTTTGCTCTGTAGCTTTCAGTGTCATTTCCCGGTTTTTCCAGCTCATAAACCTCAGCATCTACACATTGACTTCACAGAAAGTAAATCCCCTTCAAGGAATTAACAGCAGTGCCCCATTGAGGGAGCAGTAAAGCACATGCTGCTCTCAACAAGTGATTATCCCTTGGTCCAAGCTAGAGCAATGCACACAGAGCAAAAAATAAAGGAAGAAAAACAAACAAACACATGGCTGAAAACCCCGCCTAATGCTATTCTGATAAGCTTTTTTCCATCCCAGCTAAGCGAAGCGAAGGGCAAGGGTCACGCTGCGAGCCGAACCGTAGTCAAGCTGAAAATGTTCCAACAACAACAACAACATCAGCTACATAAAAATGGGCGACAACAACCTCTGCTTGCAATGGCAGCACTCCGAAAGGGCATTCAGCGAGCTTTGTGGAGCATAAATAATGAATAAACAAGTAAGAAGGCTCTAGTCGAGACTGCTCGACTAGGAGATACCCTGAACCCTCTAAGCTGATATTCTAATTATTCTGCATTTTTATGCACACATACATACACATGCTTCCACACGCACGCATAAGCCTGCGCTCTGCTAACTGCGCAG